TCGAGTTTATTCAGTTCTTTTTATCCATGACTGAATCATAACTTGAAACAATCCTTGTGCCCCAATTTTGAGAGCATTATAGAAATACATAACTCGTTGACAGCTGTATTTAGTATCAAGAAGGGTTCTTTGAACATTAGGCTAAGGGGTGGCTGATAATCACATCGAATTGAGTCAAGACAAGCATAACGAAGTAGAGGTAAAGAAATGGAGAAGCAACCGCGGTTGAGCTGAATTCATCGGTGGATTAAGTTCTCGAGGTGGGAATTCTAGTAGTGGGAAAGGTAAGGCGTAAGTTCGGGAGAAAATCGGTGACATGGCTAAAGCTAAGGTGCTACAGTTCCCGTCGTCGCAGTGCGCACCTTGATGTGAAGCAGTACAAAAATTTATAAGACTTCAAAAAGACTGATAGTGTACCAGTTTACTGCCAGATTCAAGAACAGCCCGAAGTTTTTCTTGCATTTGGAATTATTTTCGGTGCTTAACACCCTCGGGCTCGAATACTTTCGGCTTGTTACTCGATTGATTAATACTTGATTAAGTGAAGTAACTCACTCAGATGCTTTATGCAGACGTCAGTCTTTGCGAACAGTCGCTAGCTAATCGCGCGATTCGCTGGCGATTATTAGTCACAAGTCTGACACCTGTCTCATGGTGCTCTGAGCGAACTGGTCATAAAAAATTATTTTGGGTTCGAAAAGGGTGCTGAGTATAGATATATTGCCAAGAGCGAGCTAGGCTTTGAGATTCTTCTGAATTATGGCAATAGCCTTTTGTAGTTTCGAAGCATGCTCGATTGCTTAATTGAAATGAGTATGAGGTAGCATAGTAGCATAGCAGGTAGTTCTAAAGTATTAGATTGGGCGAAAATTACACTTCGTTTTCTTGTGAGGCTGATGACTTCTTAATTTTTTTTGTTGGATTTTCGGCCATTGGGCTAAAGGGGTGTAGCGATAAGTGGCGATGGTTATCACGTGTACAGTTTCCTGATCACACCTTGTATCATGCGCCGTCCCGGTTTACCCAAACATCCCTCCGATGTCAGTTATTTCCAGATTTGTCTAGGAAGGAAAAAAACGTTGATCTGCACACATCGGCTGGCTAACAGCCAATGAAAAGCATGGCGTACATCGAAAAGTGATTCCATCAAGTATGGAATGCTTCCTTTTATCCTTGGCTAGGCAATGTTGGGTACTGCAACGCTGGAAGTCTGCCACACATTTCAATATATAACACTTGTATTCGTGTCCACTATTGAGCTCAAACAGGAGCAAAAAAAGTTGTGATGCAGGAGTGCACTGCACACTCTATACATGCTTTTTGAACAGCGCGTGGAACAAATGCACAATTGTTATATATCAAAATGTGCTGCATATGGCTAGCTTTTGGATGACATCAAAATTCCATCAACAGAAAAATGGTGAATACTCTTCCGCCTAACTTACGAGGAAAGGTCACCAGGCCGGTCCGGCCATTTGCAATGAGGTGTATACCTATGCATTCGTCTTGAGACGATAAGCTAGAAACCGCTTTTCTTATCTGCTAAACGGTGCTCTGAACGGAGTTACGGAAGTTTTCCCCTCAACACTGTACTTAAACGCAGTATATCATTGGAGTCGCCACTATAAGCCAAGCGGGAAGGAGCACGTCGTGGTTGACGTGGCGTAAGTGGTAACGCTCCAGGCTTGTAGGCGAGAGGTCATGGGATCGGTCTCTCGTGGTGTTGTTGTTTTGCCTTTTTGAAAACATGACCAGAAAGGCTTTTAGCGACAGTATCTCCTCAATTCCTGCCTTTACCTGCCTGTGTAAGGAGTTAGGGAGCACCTCTGCGCAGGTTGAAAGCTATTTTTAATTAATATTTGCCATGACTGAAAACGACGCTCATAGCCCACTGATAAGGTGTTTTTGCGGTAAACGAGTATGATATTCGTGTTCAGGAGACCGAATTTTCCCTGGTTACAAGTTTCCAGCTGAATCTGAGATTTTGACCTACACTCGAGAAAGGGCAGTCAACATACAGTCAAACGAGAGAAGGTATGAATCGAAAACTAACTGGAAAAGCACCTTCCCTGAATTTTGATGCAGAGTCATGTAAATCATTTCCATTATGCGGAAATGTGAGCCGTTGAACGTTTCTCTTTTCAAAATCTTGGTTGGAAGAGGCAATTTCCATGCCAAGAGTTCAACGATAGGTTGATGATATGATGGTTGACTCACCTCATTTTTTAGGGTTGGGTCAAAATCTCAGATTCGGTAGGAAACTTATCTCCAAGGGTAGTTTGATCTCCTGAACACGAATATCACGCCTGTTTGCCGCGAAAAAGCCTGACACTTGCATTACGGGCACCATGTTCATACATGGACGACTACTGCCCAAACCTGCAAGGAACTGCTCGAAATTTTTTCGTACAGGGAACTAACGGCAAAGTTGATAAATTAAGAAGTTAGAAGCTTTCTGGCTACATCTTCACGAAGCACAAAAGAAACAGACTCTCCGAGGAGCCGTTCCCACGACCTCTTGCTCGCGAGTTCGGGGCACTGCCACTGCGCTTCCTTGCTTTATAACTACGTTCAGAGAATCGTTTAGCAGATAAGGAAGGCAGTTCTGAGCTCAGCGCCTCGAGGCGACTTCAACGGTATACGACTCATTGCAAATGGCCGGACCGGCCTGATGACCTTCCCTCGTAAGTAATTGCGAGATCTATACTCTACATCGTTACCTATTTTTCTATGTATCGAATGTGCATTTCAAGATTGATCTGCACATTTTTAGCAAATATCAATGATCCCATGGTTTGATGTCTTTTTATTAAGAGTTGCATTCAATTTTTCGTACTAATGGTGTATTTCGTTTTCGCGAGACTCACGCTTGGCTCTTCATAAATGACTAAACTCGCAACGATCTTATCTTTTCAGCGCCTATGGAATGGAGTCAGCAGACGATAAAACATCAAATCGGGGCTGATCAACAGTTTGGATTCCATGAGTTCGTACCTGGTGGTTCGAATCAGCCTTTAGAACGTCTTGGAGAAGTGTGTTCAACGCAAGCCAGTTCTAGCGGCTCTGCTCCTGTTCTGAGACCACCACTAGAAACTCATGAGGCAGAACACACAGTGGACGCAAATTTACTGCAATTTCATCATCAAAACCCTTGTGCTTCCGTCAGCTTCGGTCCGACAAATGTTCCCTATCAACCATCTCCTTCTGGACCTCTAGTAGCTTCTGGAGGAGACACAGTCAATTGCCCTACAACGTCTGTACCTGCAATTAGTCTCTCATGTATTGATCAAAATACTGCTAGAACACAGCTTACCGAGGGCACGTCCAGCAAGGAATTTGAGGATATTTCAAAACCGACGCCAAGTGGTTTATGTCTATTGCCTGCACAAATTAAGGAGCAGTGTGCTACCGCGGATAGATCTCCTACGGACCAGAAGTCTGAAGACGTTATGGTAAACTCATCTCTTGTGTTTCGTCTCTTGTTTCTTTAACCCAGTTCATTTCAGGATGATGAAGCTAAATCTAGTGTGTTAGAAGGATCTGCAGGAGAAGATTTTGATCCGTTGACTGTTGACACTATGGTAAAGTTTGTGAAGTTATTTATGAGGCTTTTTTGCTCTAGCAACTTTTGAGTAAGGCTACGTTTGGTGCTGAGGTGGGGACAAATTATTTAAGGTGTTCAAAGTTGCTCCACGATATCGGCATTTTTCCCATGCAGATTAATACTCTTGCGTCTAATACCTGAAATGAATTGTTATGCTGCTTGTTTCAGGTTGGTTTAAATAACCACTCCGCGGGTAGCTTCAATGAATGTGGCATTTGTGGACCAGCGAAGGCCATTTGGGTTCCTGAGTATGTTTCTTTTTTTCAACGTATTTTTATGTTTTCTACGCTATTTTCTTATCATTTATACTTCAGAACAAGTGAGACCGGTGAGCCGTTGGTGGAGCAAATTTCCGAACACGGTCAAAATATAAAAATAGATCCCCTTGATACGTTCTGGATCCAGTGTGATTGCTGTGAAAAGTGGTTCCATGGGAAGTGAGTGCTATAGGGGCTCTTCTTCTGCATTAATGTTTCAAATGTTTTACATCAATTGTAATTGTTTCAGCTGTGTGGGTGTTGAAGAATACGAAGACGTACTCATCGATAAATTTCACTGTGCGCCTTGCGCGCAAACTAATGGGCCAACAATAAGTGAGATTTCTGTCTATTTGTTGATTTTCCTATTTGTTATTTTTTCCTTATTTTTTGTTCTTTTTTTCTTTTTTGTACAACTATCGTGTAACTGTTAGGCCGATTTCCATACCTTTTTTGTCGAATTACTCCTTATACCATAACTAATCTCACAGGACACGGTCTTGCTCTGTAGGATGTTTTTGCTATGACTTAGATTCCGGGACTTTCACACTTGAAGATGTGGCTGCGCGGACGAGCCGGTAGTGCTCCTGCACGATTCGCGAGCCCATTGGACGTGACCGTGACACACCCGCCTGCTACGGTGGGAACACCGCCGACTCGCTGGCGCTCCGCGGCCACGCTTTCAAGTGTATCAAAAGTCAAGGAGCCTGACTTATCGGTGCATTTTTGAAGTTGGAGACGCAGTTCAACACCGGAATTATCAAAATGCCAAATAATTTCTAAACTGACTCACTGAGTTTCCTTTAATCGTTCTGCCGGCGAACATTAATTACCACAGTGAGGCTAGGATGAGATCTATCGAGCTCCTTCTACCGTGCAAATACATTTATGTTGAAAGCTCCATCGTCGGCGGCTCAACAATTCAAAACATTTCCTACGTTTCTCTTTAAAATAGCCTCAAAATAACAAAAACCGGGAGAAATGTAATAGACTAAATAAAGTCGATTACATTTCTCCCGGTTTTTGTTATTTTGAGGCTATTTTAAAGAGAAACGTAGGAAATGTTTGAATTGTTGAGCCGCCGACGATGGAGCTTTCAACATGAATGTATTTGCACGGTAGAAGGAGCTCGATAGATCTCATCCTAGCCTCACTGAGAGAAAAGGTGCAATGTGAAAACTTCTGATAGTTACATCATTGTTAAGTGACCAGTTTTCTCATGATAGCTTCGATGTCGAAGATATTCTTTCTTCCTGTCCTTCCTCTATTCTGATTTCTCTCTCCACTGTCCCGTCAAAATGCCTATGGGACCCGTTAATAGATTGTTGTGAATGCGATTTGACGATTAGGCGATTAGGCGATTATGTTGAAAGGAATATATGAAGGATGGTCGACATATCGCATCGACGAACGGTTTTTGGGCGGGTCCGTTCGATCACTGTGCGCTTAGTCCTTCAAGCTTAGCCGCCATGTCGCTTTATCACGTAATCGGTTAATTTCGGATCAATAGGTATGTTTTCCTATCAACATAATCGCTAAATGGCATTTACCGCGTTCTAAGAAGGCTTTAATCGGTGAGATTTTTGTTCATTCCAATAGGATAGGCGAGCTTCGCCAATTTTTAAGCCTATCAATATTTAATGGCAGGCAGTATGATTAGCTGGAAGGCGAATAAGGGGAATGTGTCTACTTGAAAATGGGCAGCTTCTCTGAAGGAGTGGGTCTAAGCGCGTTTTGCGGCGAAGGGATAACCTTCAGTGACCTAACAGAGCTTACCCGCGGCAGTAAATTCCCTTTGTGGCTGTCCACTTCAGCAGAAAGAACAGTTTTTGAGTTGACGGCGTCAGCACCGATGGAGACGTAAGCAAACCAGCCCTTTTGGCGCTTCGGCTGGGACCGTATGCTGAATGTTGGGGAGGGGATGGAGTCCCCGACGGTGGACGGACCACTTCAACTCGGTCCTTAGAACCGCCACAATTTGGTGCTTACCTCAGAACTAAGCCTTAAAGAGAGGACGGGTCCGTCCCCTCTCCAAGGCTTAGTTCCTG